CCCCCTCCCCCTCACCCTCCTCCCCCCCCTCCTTCTCCACCTCCACCTCCTTCTCCTCCTCCCGCGCTCCCCGAGAAAGCCGCGCACCACGGGCCGCGCCTGCTGGAGTGCAGGCGAGCGGTCCGGCTGTCGCCCTTCTGGCGGGGGAGAGAAAGCTCGAGTAGGGGATCGATTACAGACATGCTTTGCCCCCTAATTGGTTTTCGCGCAGACTGTACGAGAGAAGTGCGCATCAGGTTCGTAGATGTACGGGTTATCCGATGTGTTTTCGTGGACTCGACGAACACATCAATTCTGGGGTAAATCAATTTTGTAGTCGACTCCCCACTCGAAAAGAGCATCAGTGTCACGCCGCCGCGGGGGCCACAAAGGCCCCCTCGGCGTGCTGCTCCCTCGGTCGTCGCCCGCAGACGTCAGGCGATCGCAAACTGGATCAAGGGGGCGTGGCTCAGCGGCAGGTCCCGTTTCCATTGGAGATCGCGGATTTCCGCCGCCGAGCGACGCGGCACCAGCCGCATTTCGGGGAGGGCGCCTCCCCCGATTCATGAATTTGGCGACCGCGCGCCAACTCCATGGACCGCTGATCCATGTTTGCGCGCCCCCAGAGAAGTCGGCGCACATCGACAGTACGGTGGAGGCCAACGCCGAGAAACACCCTGCTCGCCTCCAGGGTGCCTGGGGCTTCCCTGGTTTCGAGGGTTTCGCGATGGGAAGCGTGATGTTCCCACACCAAGAATCGATGGACGTCCTGGGGTCTCAGGGTTGGGTTTCTTGTGGAAGGCTTCCTGTGGACTGGCCTCCACTGTAACCACGCCGACGGGGCCCTGGGGCCCCCGCGGCGGCGTGACGTTGTTACACTTTCGGCCCCCCCGGAGCCCGTGGACTGCTCCGTCGGCGGGCCCCGCGGCAGTCGCAGCCCGGACGGGCGGATCCGGCGGGGGGCGGGCGAGCGGCGCGGGCGGGCGGTCTCTGGATTTGGCCGGGGCCGCCGACCCCGAAGGGGGACGACGGCGACGGCGGCGGCAGCCACGACGACGACGATGGCGAAGACGACGACGGCGACGACGCCGACGACGACGGCGACGGCGGCGGGCTTCGCGCGTCGAGGCCTGGGCCAGAGAGCGGTCGCCCCGAGAGCGCGAGGGCGCGGCGAGGCTCGTGCCCTCGCGGGGATGCGCGAGGCGCGGAGCCCGGAGGTGCAGGCGGGCCGGCGGGAGCTCAGGCGAGCTCGCGGGCTGCGGCCGGACAGCACGCGAGCGAACGGGGCGAGGTCGGTATCGTTTGACCCATCCCCATCCCCATCCCCATCCCCATCCAGACCCCCAGCATCCTTGCACCCCCGTTGGGGACACACGCCTCGAGACCCGAAGGGAGCGGCCAATGTCCCCCCCATCTTGGGGGGTCAATCGGCCACTGGGGCCCAGGCCACGTTCATGGGGACAGGGGTCGGTTAAACGATGCCCGTGAGGGAGTAGAGCTCAGAGACGGCACGCTGTCGGCGGCGGCGGAGGCGGTAGGAATGTCACGGCAGTTTCGCGTGGGGCCTGCTCAACACTCAGAACATCGGAGGCACCCCTTAGGCAGATACGGCACGGTCCGAAAACCAATTGCCTGTGTACCAAACAATGCTTGCACTCAGGGTTTTTTGTTTGTTGTGCTGAAGGAATCGGGCAGGTACGCCCAGGGTTCGCCGGGTGCTTCGCCTGGTGCCCACCCGTGGGCGCCACACAGCTTGCCTTAAGTCGGGCCTGTCCCTCTACAGGGAGAATGTTCAAACAAATGTTTGTATAGTGCTTGCAGGATGGGGTACTCCTGGTGCCCGGGCCGTCTCATACTAGTGTCGCCTTGGGCCTGTTTTCCGTTCCGCAATCCCACGGCTCAAGTTTTCTCAGGGTGAAATGCCTCCGCAGGGGCTCGGACGGGTCCTTCTGGCGGCCCTCACGGGAGCTTGGTTGGCCCCATCGCCCCTCCGTGTCTGGCTCGGCGCGCCGAGTGGCGCTCCCCTGGCGCCGAGCTGCGCCGCCCCTGCTCCGGCGCCGCGCTGGAACAGCAGCTGCCCTGCGGTCTGCCCGGACCTCAGCGAGGTCTTGGCGGAGCTCCACGAGCTCGGGGGCGGAAAAGAGGGGGGTGATGACTAGGGGGGGGTGGATATCATGGCGGGGGCCATGATATTTCCGCAGATCTCATGGCGCCTCTTCTTGTTTCATTACGTCCCTGGCCCCCCCGCTGGGCCGCGCACATGCCGCCGGTCATGATTTGCGCCCCCCCCTCTTTGACGCCCCCCTCTTTGCCGCTCCCGACGAGCAGCGGCGTGAGCGCGAGCGGCTGGCCGCTGGGCGCGCGGAGGCGCTGCAGCCGGGCGTGCCCTGGTACGTTGAGGTGGTGACGGCCATCCTGGGGAGCCTGGCCTTCTACGCGAACGTGGTGATAGGGCTTATCTGGTCCTCTCTCGTCTGTGTTCTCAATGGCTGCCGCTGGTGTCGCCAAGCCTGGTCTGCACGTTGGACAGAAGGTGCTTCTCCTGTACGGAGACGAGCCGAACCTCTGGCACGAGGCGAGCATCCTCCGCAAGAGCTCCGAGACGTGCTACAGGAGGATCCACGGCGAGGACCCTCCAGTGAACAGTTGGCTCTGGTGGATTCTGACAGTGGACGGCGACGTGTACCCGCAGGATCTCTCCGTGCCCGGGGACCTGCAGGCCCTTCGTCTGCTTGACGCCGGGGGTGAGGTGACTGGGACGATGTACGGGCGAGGCCCCGACGCGTTGTCTCGATACGGCTTCGGGGCAGGTCGGCGGGAAGGTCCTCTCGATGTGCCCCTCTTTCTCCGTGCCAAGGCTGTGGCTGACGAGAAGGAGCGCAAGGAGGGAGGCCATGGAGACGCTCTCGTGTCGAAGTCGCCGCCTCCCGCTTCAAGTGGGAAGATCAGGCGGATTGTTTTTTCATCAGATCAATCTTTCAGTCGTGGAGCCGAGTATCCGTCTGGAGTCGAGGGTCATCATTTCACTCTCGTGAAGAAGGGCGATGCTGATGACATGTGAAGAAGGGCGATGCTGATGGATGGTACTCCTGGGGGGGTCCTGCAGTGTTACGCCGCCGCCGCCGACTCGATCGACGAGGACGCCGACGCCCGGACTCTTCCAGTGGCGTGGCGAAACAACGCCCGCCGCCGCCGCTTTGTCGAGGCCGTCGACCTGATGCAGCATCATGACTACGGCGACCCTCCTCTCGAAGGGGAGGCATCCATTCTCTGGTACTTGGAGGAGATCGCTCGAAGCGGAGAGGGTGGTCCCGTCCAGCGTCATTACAACTGGGCCCACCAGTTGAATTCAGGTGGCGATCGCTCGGTGCACGAGCACTTCTGCACCATGAAGGTTCTCGAGCTGGCTGCCGAGGTGGACCAGCTTAACATCCCCACGCTGGTCTCTCTGGAGGCGCTCGGGCGGCGCGCCGTGCTGATCGAGCAGGCGCACCTCAACTCTCCTGGCAGCCCCGACTACACCGGGGCCGGCGATTTCATGGGGTGGGGTCCGGGCCGTGGCAGGGCCCTGGTCGCCCCGACTTTGGTCAAGCATGTGGCAGAGAAGGCGCGTGACAAGGCGTCTGTGTATAAGGAGTTGCGCAAGCACAATGAGGAGCTTCGTTTGAGGAAGCCGCCCAAAGGCCCCAAGAAGGAGGGCCAGGGCGGCGATCACTCATGATGAACGGCGATGGCCCCCCCCGCGGCCCGAGGGTGGGGCCGAGATCCAGGGCACTCCCGGCCACGCGGCTGGGCTTTCTCGCTGGTGTCGTCGCTGAAGAGCGTGACGTCCCGCGGGAGCTTCTTCCTCTACCGTATGTTCCTCGGGGGCCTGTCGCTGGTCCCCACCTTTCTCGGGGAGTTCGGCAGCGAATCCAGGGGCGACGTCGGCTCACGGACGAGGTGAATGAGAGCATTTGGGCCCTCAACTGGCTCGTGGGTTCTTCCACCGCCAATGCCAAGTTTTCTTCTCTTGGACAGCGGGCCGCCGTTGACCACCTGTACGAGACCATCAATTGTTTTCGGCCGCCTCCTCAGGCGGTCTCAGACGAGGAAGCCATGCGTGCGCTTCTCGGCAGCAGAGTCCCTTATGGCGGGGACGATGACTTGACAGTGGTTCCCTACGACCGTGCGATGGTGTCTATCCCCGGTGACGGGCGAGTTCCCGTGCCCCCTGCCGAGGCGTCGCCGCCGGATGCCGCAAAGATGATCGTAGATTTTGACACCCACCTGCTCAAGAACGACAACCAGTGGGGAGCGGAGGTGGAGCGTGGTCTCGAGCACATAGGTTCCTACATGGACCCTCGGCTCCGCTTCAGCCGCCGCAGTTATCTCAACTTCATCGGGGACCTGTTCAGAGGTGGGCTTCTCGCCTGGCGACGGGCCGACCAAGTTCGAGGTGGGATCTCGGTATTTTTTGTACGAAAGAAGTCGGGCAAACAGCGCCTTGTCGTCGACTGCAGGCGCGTCGACGCCCGCTTCCGAGAGTGCCTTCGCGCGCCAATGGGTTCGGGATCGTCCTGGGCCGACGTCGCGATGGACACGGACACTGACATGTTTCTCTCGCTTAGTGACGTGAAGGACTACTTCTACGCCTGCGGTCTGCCGCCAGGCCTCGAGAGCTTCTTTTGCCTCCCCGATATCACTGGGGAAGAGCTGAAGGTGGTCGCCCAGGGCGATCCCACCTTTGGATACTTGTGGGGCTCCACGGCGGTCACCCCCGCTATGAAGGTGATGCCGATGGGGTGGGCTTGGAGTTTCTCCTTCGCGCAGGTCTTGCACGCTCACCAGGTCCACCAGATCAGGCCCTGGTCGCCCGGCGCGGTCATGCAGGACCGCGTCCCTCCACCTCCTTTCAGGACGGGGGCCGAGCTGGCCCTGCCCTACTGCGACAATTTCGTTGCGGCTGCCTCCTCTCTTGCACAGGCCGACGCTCTCCGAGAAGATTGTAAGCGCCGGATGACCTCGCTTGGCTTCGAGGTCCACGAGGAGGAGGCTGCCCGCCACTGGGCCGAGTCCTTGGGGTTCGCCATCGACGGACTTACTGGGGAGCGTCGCCCTAGCCCTGTCAAGGCGCGGCGCCTCCGCCAGGTCTGTCGTCGCGTGGGCCGCCAGCGGCCCTGGCTTAGCGGTCGGCAGCTGGAGCGGCTCTTGGGACATGCTACTTTCCAGTTTCTGGGACATCGGCCGCTACTCTCTGTCTTCCGCAGTTGCTGCACCTTCGTGCAGTGCCACTACCTCCTGCCACGACGGCTCTGGCGGACCGCCGCCGAGGAGCTCCGTGCTGCCGCTGCTCTGCTGCCCTTTGCGCGGGCCAACATGCGGCGGCCCTGGGCTTCGGAGGTGGAGGTGTTCGACGCCAGTCCTGCCGGCTGCGGGGTCACGACGGCGACCCTGCCGAAGGAGGTGGTCTCTGAGATCGGGAAGGTCGATGAGAGGTGGCGTTGCGCTTTCCAGTGCGAACAACCTGGGGGGCCTCGTGAGCACGCCCTCCGTTCGGCCCCTCCTGTCGAGGAGTGCTTCAGCAACGTTGAGTCCGTTCTCCCTCGCGACTGGTCTCGGCGACGGTGGCAGCCCGCACAAGACTTCCCTGAGGTCCCAGCTTCCATCTTCCAGGACTTTGACTGGCGCGAGTGCGTGGCTGGCCGCTGGAGAGACGAGGAGCATATCACTGTGCTTGAGGGGCGCACGGGGCTGATATCTGCGCGGCGTACTTGTCGTTCGCTGTCCAATCGAGGCAAGCGGCATCTCAAGATAGGTGACAATCTGGGTATGATCCTTACTTGTGCCAAGGGGCGTGCAGACAACTTCGGCTTGCTGATGCTTTGCAGGAAAATGCCGCGTTCACGGTTGCAGTGGACATGGCAATTCGATGGCGTTGGGTTCCTTCAGAGATCAATGTTGCTGATGCCGCCTCTCGTCGTTATCTTACTGAGGACCACCGCAGCCGCGAAGCGAGGCCTGGCCCGCCTCAAGCTTCTTCGAGGCTCGGGCTTGGGGCCACCCGCGGCAGCTCGCGTGGGTGATGAGACGACTGCTGCCGCCTACACAGGCCAAGCGGTCCCATGGCGAGGCATCTGCTGGCCTCCCACAGGGGCCCGCCGGCAGCCGCCCAGTCAAAGGAGCCGCGGGTCTCACGCGTGCTGCAGGCGCCGCATCGCCAGGCGTGCTCCGCCCCCCGCGACGGCAGCCGGGGGCTGGCCCCCCCCCGACGCACCGCCGCCTGGCGGGTGCCGCCTCAGCGCGGACGCTGCCCGCCAACGCCGACCGGAGCCGCAAGCTGCAGATCCTGGCGCGGCGGGCGCGGGCGAGGGCCCGCCGAGCGGCCGTCGAGGCGGGGGGCCGCGAGATGCAGGAGGAGCTCGAGCTGAAGGGGATCATGGTGAGCCTCCTCGAGATGAAGTCCGTCGGCAAGCAGTCGATCCCCTACTATCTCCAGAAGTTCAGGGAGTTCTTGGACTTCGTGGTCGACCACGGGTTCGACCTCCACAAGGACGAGGACGTGGACGAGGCGTTGGTGCAGCTGATGGACCTGATGTACTTGGATGGGTGGCAGGTCGATCAGGGCGAGAAGCTGCTCGCGGCGGTGAAGCTTGGGATCCCGCGTTTCTCCAGAGCGGGGCTCGGCGGCCTGCCGCGCGCGGCCCGCGCCCTCCGCGGCTTTCGGAAGGCCGCTCCCGAGGCCTGCCGCCTCGGGCTGCCGCGCGCGTGGGTCGTCGCGATCGTCGCGGCGATGCTCTGGCGCGGGAGGCTGGAGAGCGCCCGCCGGGTGGTGGTGATGCACGATGCGTACCTCCGCACTGGCGAGGCGACGCGGCTCCGGGCCGAGGACTTCGCCCCGCCGGTCGGAGACCATCGCGGCCACGAGCGCGGCGTGCTCATCCTCGGCTCCTCGAGCGCCGGGGTCCCCACCGAGACGGGCGTGCTGGACGACGCGGTCACCCTGTCGGACTGGGACTTTCCAACCAGCAAGATACAGGAGCTTTTGAAGGCCCAGCGAGCCCCGCACGAGCCCCTGTTCGTCACGAAGCCCGCTGCCTTCAGGAAGGACTTCGATCAGGCGTGCCTCGACCCCGGACTCGACAAGCGGAACCTCGCGAGCTACCAGCTCCGCCACAGCGGCCCAAGCCGAGACGCCCTTCTCGGGCGCCGCGCGCTTCCCGACATTATGAAGCGCGGCAGGTGGGCCACTCTCTCGTCGGTGAAGAGGTGCGAGAGGCGCGGAGTAATGCAGAAGGCGCTGGCCAGCAGCCCGAAGGAGCTGCTCGACTTCGCCGCGGCTGTCGAGTCCTCCATCGTGGGAGCGCTCCTTGGACGGCCGTCCCGAGTGGCCAAGCCGCCCCGTGCCTGAAGCGCCGAGTTGCGGCCGAGATCTTCTCCGGCTCAGGGCAGTTCGCCCGCGCTCTCGCTCGGAGCGGAGTCCCCACTGAGGCCTATGACGTCGCCGATGGCCCTGGTGCTGATCTGTTGCGGCCAGGCGTCGTGAGGCTTCTTCGTGACAAAATTCGTGCTGGCTCTTTTTGTCTCATGTGGTTCGGTGTGCCCTGCAACACTTTCTCACGTGTCACTAATCGGCCTAATGGACCGCGCCCTCTCCGCTCAAACACTTATCTGTATGGTTTGCCCAACCTCGATGCAAAGCAGCGTGCGCGTGTGTCGAACGCCAACAGGTTAGTGCGTGTTGTATGTAGTCTAGCTCGTGAATGCAACAAATGTCACGTTCCATGGGTCATAGAGAATCCTCGGACCTCCCGCATGAGATACAGATTCTTGAGAGGAAAGCGTCCGCCGTTGTGCTAGGATGCCCTGGAGAAAGTGCACTCGTTTTGTTGGCACTCTCCCGGGTCTGGAATCGTGGGAGCGCCGATGTACGGGGAGAGTGTGTCGACGCACTGGCCACCGCCACCAGGCCTTCGAAGGCAAAGACCCCTCAGGTGTTTTCTGGACCAGGCGGGCGGAGCCATATCCCACTTCTCTCTGTAATGCTATCTCCTCCTCTGTCGTCGCCTCCCTCCCTCCTCACCCTCATTAGAACAGCTTCTGGTGCTGGGGACGGGTTGTGGGCCCTCGCCGTCTCTGTACGTCTCATCGTGACAGTTTCGCTCGGGCCCAGTCTTTAGGCAGGCGATGCTTCTAGGTAGCATTTCGATATGATTCCAGTTTCTCTGGTCTTGGCATAAAGGAGTGCTTGAAGGATGGGGTGCTCCTGGTGCCTGGGCCGTCTCATACTAGTGTCGCCTTGGGCCTGTTTTCCGTTCCGCAATCCCACGGCTCAAGTTTTTTCAGGGTCCTCCTGCCTCCTCTCCTCCCCCGCTTCTTTCTGGGTTGTGGGCCCTCGCCGTCTTTGTACGTCTCATCGTGACAGTTTCGCTCGGGCCCAGTCTTTAGGCAGGCGATGTTTCTAGGTAGCATCTCGATATGATTACAGTTTCTCTGGTCTTGGCATAAAGGATACATATATATATATTATATATATATATATATATATATATATATATATATATATATATATATATTATATATATATATATATATATATATATATATATATATAGTGAGCGATGTTTTGATTCTGTTTGACTAAGTTGATGAATGTTTGGCCTATTTTAGAATTGTTCCTCCAAGTTCTAGACGCTTCGCGTGTCCCCACCAGCCCGTCCAGAAACGACGCCCAGGCGAGTAGAGGGTCGTCCTGAGGGGCGTTTCGGCGTCTTGGGTGCCTCGGGGGGGCCTCTGTGGGCCGTTCGGGATCCTCTTTGGGGCCTCCTGGGGGCCTCTTGGGGCCTCTTGGGGCCATCTTGGGGCCTTTGGGGGCCTCCTGGGCGCTTCTTGGGGCCTCCTGGGCGCTTCTTGGGTGCCTCTGGGGGGTCTCTTGGGGCCTCTTGGGGGTCTCTTGGGGGCCTCCTGGGGGCCTCTTGGGGGGCCTCGGAGCCATCTTGGAGGAGATCGATCAACGAAGGGGGGTTCCCTAATTACAGTCCCCCCCTCAGGAGCCACGATCCTCGTGAGGGGTGTCGAATTTTAGCCCTCCCAGGGGTCGATCTTGGGCGCTCCAACGCGCCGCGGAACCCCCTGTCCAGGTCAGTGGGGAGGGGGTAGGGGGAGGGGTAAACCCCTCCCCGAAGGGGAAGAAGGAGGGGTGGAAGAGGAAACGCTCTAAACCACCGACGCCCAGAGGGCCGACCGACCTAAAGCTTGCCTCGCGTACAGTCGGACCGAGGTATAGGATCGAGGTCGATTCGAGGAGGGTACCCTAGTGTTCTTCGTGTGTGTGTTGGATGTTATTGTGCATCCTGGGGAGGTACCTTTGGATGGATGTTCTGTTTGTTTTGGCCGGCGGAGGGTCTCATGTTCTTGAAGGATGTTGTTTCTGTCCCAGGTCCGATTGTAGCTCACACAGCAAAGCTCACACCACATATCTTGCACTGCAGAGCGTTCACCACGCAGCATACAACATAGCCTACACAACCGAGTTCAGACCGCATAGCTCACACCACATATTTTACACATACACGACATCACTTGCACCGCATAGCTCAGAACACATCGCTCACGCCACATGGCATACACCAGATGGCTCGGTAGCACGACATTGATTACACCACGCAGTTTCCACCGCATAGCTCACACCACATGTGTCACGCCGCGTAGGTTACAAATCTCAGTGTATACCACATATTTTGGACCGCATTGTCCACTCAGCATAGCTCACATCAGGCTCACACCACATAGCTCCTATCACATACCCCTCACAGCATGGCGTACAAAGCATAACTTATATAGTATCGGCTTTACCGCATAACTCCCATTTCCGCAGTACAACAGCTTACCGATCGGGGTCAACGCTGACTGGCTAGAATTTGTCGGACATGCTCAGAAGCACCTACATCTTACAATACCATGGATGTTCAATGATGCGTTGTGTGACTGTCGATTATGGTCGTTGTCTCCATGCCCACAGACATAGGTGCTTCTGAGCTTGCCGTCCCATCGCGTACCCACCGTTCCTTTCAGATGGCAAGCAAAAGATGTGAATCGCACGGAGTGGAAACCCCACTGGCGTTCGAGCGTGCCTCCCACACGTCGGCGAATTGGGAGGACGCAGTTGGCTCGCCATGCTTGCCCTCGCCATCGACGGCGAAGACATGCAGGAGCACCGCCGGAGCCTCGCAGTCTGACCATCCAGTGGGGGCCCATGCCAAGAAGCACCATGCTTGCCTCCAGGGTGCCCGGGTTTTCTTCGGCTTCAATGATTCTGCTTTGGAAGTCGTGACGCTCCCACACCAGAAATCAAGGGACGTCCTGGGTTCTCAGGGTTGGGTTTCTCGTGGAAGGTTTTTCGTGGTCGGTCCAATACTGCACGCAACTGCAACATCCCATCCATGCACACGACTTCAGAGCACTGCAAGTGCAGCTGTCATAGTATAGCCCAGGATTCCAGGGGTGCTTCTCATACGTTTGTAGAAGAGCAAGGTGTGGCAATCCCACTTGCGCTCGGTTGTGCCCTCGCTTCTGCACCCTATCATGCACACCTGGCGGCGTCATTCCGGCGTGTATCGCAAGGGGAATTTCCCCTACCGCTATCACTTATTTCCTTCAGCTTATGCTGAGTGATCTTGGGCACGGACCTGCAACCCGTATACATCACGGGGTGCCTATGTGGAGATATAGAGAGAGGAAGGGGGGGGAGAGGCAGAGCGAGAGAGAGAGCGAGAGAGCGAGCGAGAGAGAGAGAGAGAGCGAGACAAAGGCACCACACACACACACACACACACACACACACACATCTCGCCCTGCACGGGAGCCGCGCGGCCTCGCCCTCTGCCAGGGGAAAATATTGCGCGGGCGCTCCGCATGTGTAGACTTAAGTCGGGCCTTGTCCTCTACAGGGGGAATAGTCAAAGATAGTACAATAATAGTCTGGGGACGGTTTTGTTGAGTATGTTTCGCCATGTTTGAGCATTTTGTTGAGTATTATTTTTATGTTTCGTCTAAACTCCCCCTGTAGGGGGACAGGCCCGACCTACGTGCAGGCGGGGGTGCACATCGGGAATATGTACGCGATGCGTTCCCGTCTGGACCTCGCACGCTCAAGGTGGAGGCATGCCATGGTTCAAGCCTCTGCGTTATCCTCATGCTTGCCACCATCATCATCATCATCATCATCATCATCATCCGTAGCCATTTTGGCTCAAGGTGGCGCGATCAGGGCAGATGTCTGGTCTCATGAGGCTGGCTCTAGCCGTCGCGTCCATTCTTGGGTCAGATTCCCAATCTTCCAAGCTTTCAGTGTGGCCCTTGGGGCCACAGTTCTTTCCATATTACATCACCGACACCCGGCCCCAGTCGCCCGATTGGGAGCCCAGCCGCGGCGGGCTCGACCAATGGCAGGACGAGGAGGTGGTGCTCGAGGAGCCGCGCGCGGCGGCGGCGGCAGAGCCAGTAGTGGCCGTGGACAGCGGGGCGGCCAAGCTCCAGGCGCGGGCGGCAGCGGTGCAGCGCCCAGGGTCTGGGATTGCCCTCAGTGCGGAGCCAAGAAGAATTGGGGCTCTCGGCATGTCTGCAGGAGTTGCGGCTACGACTGGTGGGAAAGCGGTTCTGGTACGAGTTCTTGGTGGAGTGGCATGTCACAACTGGACGCCAGAGAACGCCACGAGCTCAACCAGTTGCGGAGGAAGGTCAAAAAGTTTGAGACCAGCAGCCGAGCAGGACCAGGAGTCGATGGCGGTGGCGCTGGGGCGGCAGGCGTTGGGTCGCAGCCTGACGACAAGTCAGAACGTGTCCGCCGATTGGGCAAGCTACGAAGTGAGATCAAGAAGATCGAGGGCGTGGACGGCGCGGAGGCCATTCTCGAATCCAAACGGCAGGAGGCGCAGCAGTTGGAAAACGAGCTGGCAGCAACCAAGCCCACATCAGTCCAGCTCAGTGAGTTGGAGCGCAAGCAGAAGAACCAGGAGGCCACCACGGCGGCCTTGGCGAGCAGGATCTCGGCGGCGGACAAGCAGCTCGCTGAACTACAGGCCCACAAGCTCGAGCTGGAGGGCAAACATGCGCAGAGTCAGGCCGGCGAGAAGGAGCTCCAGGCGCTCATCGACAACCTCCTGGCGCAACAGCTCCGCGAGCGTGAAGCACAGCAGCGGGAGGAAGGGCCGCGAGGGACGGCTGCCCCGGCGTCCCCAGGCGCCCAGCTCAGCGAGGGTGAGCGAGCCACCGCTTTCCTCACCGCTCTTAATCAGTGCTCAGGCATGCTCGCCCCTGGCTTCGCTGAGCAATGGGGCGGCCAAGTCGCAGAGTTGCGGCGTTTGGCACAGCG